AGTTTGATTTGATTTGATTTAATTAACACTAAGATGAACGACTTATGTGGTTTAGTTGATGGAGATGAAGACTTGGTTTTGCATTTACCCACTTAATGAAATGTTCGTCGATCCCGGTTATATCTTTAACTATCTTCCTCTCGAATACTCAATCGAGGAGTATATCCAGTTCATCGAGGGTGGTTCTTAATAACGAGACGCGTTCATTAATAAAACTTACTACTGAGTCAATATAGAACATGCGCCGTATATTAACCCGATAGTAGCAATAAACTTAAGATGAAAACGATTGAGATTGATAACCTCAACACAAGCAGTTTATTGGTTAAATCAATATAATTAATTCCCCTTAGATTATAAACCAAGAGACGCATGCATTAATAATCCAAGTTTACTACCATGAAAAGACCGAACGATTAACAAGCGTACTCGTCAATCGATTCTAGTGATAATTAACATATGAAACAAAACTAGTTGATCCTTTAAGTAATGTTCAAAATATTAATATAAAATATGAATAGGAATTAATTAATATTCAAGGAAAAATATTAAAGATGATAAATCCTACTATAACTAATGTCAAGATGATAACTAATTGTCATCTTAGTAACACTCCCCAACATCAATATATAGAGGAAGAAAATAAATACTACTATAACTATTGTCAAGATGTTAACTAATTGTCATCTTAGTAACTCTCCGGCCCCAACATTAATATATAGATAGATTAAAGGAAGAATTAATATTCAAGGAAGATGATTAAAGAAAATAACTCACAACTTACAATTCATTAAGCTTCAAAGTAGCAAAACCAAGATGGAAGAGTTTAGCTCCTCATTTGGAGACTAAACATGATAGAAAATATAAAGAAAACACTAATCTAAACTGAGTTAAAAAGTACATGTGAATTGGTGATTTTATTGGGAAGGAAAGGAGTGTACTTATAGGCTTTTGGGAGCTGCAGGGTCTAATACTCGATCGGGTATATAGGATACCCGACCGGGTATCTTAGGAAATTGCCCAGAAAGTCACTTTTCTGGGCATACCCGATCGGGTATGTCGACATACCCGATCGGGTATGCGACAAATCTTCACGAAAATTCGCTCACATGATCATTTGTTCCCGAATTTGATTTGGACAATCGAATCAATCAAATACCCGATCGGGTATAGGCAATACCCGACCGGGTACATGAATATTTTTTCCATATCGAAATCTTTCTTGCCTCCTTGCACTTTCCTTGATCTTTTAAGGTCCAATCTTGATTCCTTGGATGATCTTTGACCTGTTTAGCTTAGAATAATCCTAATCTAAACAAATTACAAATAAAAAATGAAAATAAAGTATTACACCAAAAGTGTGTAATTTCCACAACTAGAACTAACAAAAACTAGTTAAAAATACAAATATACAATCGCAAATTACACGAATATCAGCTACCGATAATAATGACTAATTAATTACAACATTAATACGGAATTAAATACATAATTAAACAACGCATTAATTCTTGACCGTTACTTTTCCTAGCTGGCAGGTCGGCCGGACTGGCAGGATCCCCATTGGGGTGGTAGGCAGGCTCCCCGTTGTGGACCTGGATCCACGGGTCCAAGTTCGGGGCTTGGGCCGATTAGGCTTTGGGCCTAGTCCCATAACTCCAACAATTATTTAAAAAATTACAAAATGGTTAATATGAATATTGATAAGGGTGTTGCTTATAATTCTAGAGAAGTGTTGCCAATTTTGAATAAAATGTTGCATAAAGTATTCATTAAACTATTACGAAATGTAATAAGTGTTGCAAAATAGTATAGCAAATATGTTACACATATATGAAAAGTGTTGTCTAAAGTCATATCTTAAGTGTTGCATTTGATTTAAAAAAAAGGGTTGCATATTGGAGATATATGCAACACTTTCATTCAATGTTGCATAATAAAAGAAAAAAGTGTTGCATATTTATGAAGTAACACTCATAAATGTGTTGTGTTAGCCGTCTGTAACACTTTAATGATCTAATGCAACATTTTGAAAGCATTGCCAAAGGCTTGTTTTGACGTTCTAGTGAATGAACGATGTAATTTCGTTGGAGTTTGTAAGATCGCAACATATTTTGGCAAACAACTTGACTAAAAATAATTTAGCCCAACACTTATTGCACAAGTCCGTCATAGGGATGAGATTAAAATCCATTTAAATCCTTAATGGTAAGACACCAATTCCTCTCTAATACAATATTAGATATTAAATTCAATGTGGAAAGCTCACACCTATGGATTGGAACACGCAATCGAAATCATCTCAAGGTTTGTGTTCGGGCTTGTACTTGGAAAGGTTGATTTTTTTTTTTAATAATTGTGGATAAAATGTAAGCAGGTACATGAATAAATGAATTACATATATATGATAGTGAAATGTAAGCACGATTTAAAAGGTTTGAGAGTTGGCTTTTTAATAAAACAGTTTTGTTGACTTATAACATGTTGTCTAACTAATCATGTAACTACGAAAATATTGAAATCAATTTTTATCAGAAATAAAAATAAGAAAAAATCAAAAACAAAGAATATCTAACTATACCATGAATATAAAATTATAATGAAACGCTACTTTCAAAACTCAAAAATAAATAGTACAATGTGTTGCCCAAACTCAAAAATAAAAATAAATCAGAAATGAAAAAATAAAAAATAAAAAAAACTAACTAAACTTACTAGTTGTACGTAAAATATAAGGTACACCCGGTTGTACCGTGTCAGTACAGCCAGGTATTTTTGTAATTAGTGACAATCCAAAGGCTATTAATTAAGGAGAAGAAGATATGCTTTCTTTATTTGTCTTCCGTTGATCTTCGTATTTTTCTCGATTTGCTCTTCGTTTAGTTTCTCGTTTTTTTTCTTTTTCTTTGTGTTGCTTTTATTTTTTTTTTTGTCTTTTTTTTTATTTTGAAATTCAATTTTCCTAACATTAATTTTCTTTTTCTTTCTTTTCCTTTAATTTTGAACTTTAAATTTTCTAACTTTGATTTTTCTTTTTCTTTTTTCTGCTTCCGTTTTTGTTTTTATATATGTCTTTTGTCTCTGCTCCTCCAATTTTGAACTCCTATTTCCATTTTCTTTTTATATAAATTATTTTTAATATTAAATTACTATATTTTTCATTACTATATTTGTCATTATTATATTTGTCATTATATGTGCACAAATGAACATTTGAACACATTAGAGTATTCAAACAAGCTTTTTAATTTTTCAATGCTCATTTATAAGTTCTATACGTTCATCTAGTACTGGTTTTATGCTTATTTGAAAATGCTATATTAATGCATATTTTTAAAGTATGATATTAGATTAGCATAAGAGTGAGATTGTATACATGAGAGCGGAAATTATGATACTCGGTTGGATGCTTTTGATATTGAATAAAAGAGGTTTGATGTACAATAAAAAATGTCTTGGTGCTCAACTAACAAAGCTTGTGATTTTCATATCATTGCTCATTTGGTAAGTAATGTATGCTCATTTTGTACTGGTATTATGGTCATTTTAAAATGTTATATCAATACATATTTCAAAAGTAGCATATTACATTAGACTCACGCAGGAGTTGATTGTAGATACGTGTGCACAGACCATGATATTCAATTGCATGTTTGTAATACTCAACAGAGGACATTTGGTACTCAATGAAAATGTCTTGATGCTCAACTAAAAAAACATTTATGATTTTCATATCAATGGTCATTTTGTAAGTTATGTATGCTCAATCGATACTTATGTTATGCTCATTTTTAAAATGTCATATCAATGCATATTTCAAAAGTACAAATTACATTAGAATCACATATTGAAGTTCATGGAAAATGATCATAGATATAATTTAAATGTTTTTCTAAAAGAAAAAAAAAAGTGAATTAGAAAATATAAAGCAGAGGTCGCGATGCTCATTGTTAGGCTCCTAACGCTCAATGGAATGAAATGAGTTTTTTATATACTAATATGAGCATAATGTTTACGTTAATTGGGAATTGATGTAACATTACAAAATTTATTATAAACATGTTATGATACATAGTAAAAAAGAATTAATTTGATTTAATTAAGAATTATAAATAGTAAAAAAAATGAAGAGAAAGCATGGTGAAGTTAAGCGAATGATGAAGGTTAGGGAATGAGACTAATTAAAAAAAGGGGTTTAATGCACCAAACCCCCCTGTGATTTGGAAATTTGGCGCATTAGCTCCCTGTGATTTAAAAAATGCGTCAAACCCCCCTGTGTTTTAATTAATCATGCGCCAAATCCCTTATGTGAACAATTTCAATTGTCAAATAAAAGAAAAATGATTAACATTTTTGTATGATTCAGAGATTTTGACACATTTATTTGTATATTCAATCAAAATATTAGGCAAAGTGATTTTCAAATCGTTAAATTTATTCATAAAGAGGATTTTGCGCATGATTAATTAAAACACAAGGGGGTTTGACGCATTTTTTAAATCACAGGGGGCTAATGCGCCGAATTTCTAAATCACAGGGAGTTTGATGCATTAAGGGCCGGTGAATTGAAGTGAAGCATGGAGAAGTTAAAAGAACATGAGCCACGTCGGTGAATTACGTGGCCATATAGGCAACAACGCAGGCAACGTCTAATGAAAAGAATATTTAAATAGACTGAAAGTTGAGAGAAATACTCCCTCCGTCCCGTAATTAAGTTTATAGTTTGAATTCACACAGATTAAGAAAATAAATTTGACTTTACTGTGGAGTGCGCTGTTTTGCACTGTTTAAACACTGTTTGATACTATTTGGACACTATTTGGCACTTTTTTGATGTAAATTATTTGCCAAATAAGGAAAATTTTGAAGTGTGAAGATAATTTCGGGACTGCCCTAAAAGGAAAGTGAGAAGTTAATTTTGGGACGAAGGGAGTAACAAAAATACGTGGCTATACGGAGTAATTACTGGCTAGCACGTAGTACTATTTTGAAATTAAAAGACATATTCTTGATGCAAACTAAAGTTTAATGCCCAACTGAATACAAAACCACACATATTCTTGATGCAAACTAAAGGTTAATGCCCAACCGAATACAAAACCACGATTGACAATCACTTCATGTCTGCAATATTACTTGTAATTCGAAATGGGCAAACAAAAATAAATTAAAGAACACTCCCTAGATCGGATTGAAGGAGTGAAATCATGGGATCTGATCACACTGTGTGGATTGAAAGGATACAGTACTCTGGACAAGATCAAACTTCACCATCATATTCTGCTGCTGGGTACTTCCAAATATGGATGGACTGGCTATGTCCGTGCTTACCATGGCCAAACACGCCAGTCCAGCTACGGTCTCGATGTAGTTCTGTTGAGGGAGAACCAAATCGCCGCCGTCCAAGTGAAGGGTCAGCTGGGGGAAGATGTCGTTGATATTGGCGCCGCCGGACGGCAGAACGAAACACAATTCCATAACCGTTTTCCCCGCGGGATCACTCGCCACCGGCAGATGATCCCCCACCTGCCTAATAAGCTCATCCCGGAGCGCCCCGAACACGGTGGGATACAGGCCGGTGAAGGTGGCCCCGGAGTCGATCACCATCCCGGGGACCCCCACCGGGTGAGCCTCGAACTCCGCCTCCTCTACAGGCAACGGTACGCCGCCCACACTAATCCCCTTAAGTGAGATGCAGTAAAGCATTTTGTGTGGTAACAGAGGGGTGTTTGTCACGGCGGCTGAATATGATTCAGCCGCCGCGACAACACCCGCAGGAGATCCCAACACAAGGGTGCTCGCTGCAAGGCTTTCAATGTCGGTTAAGCAATACCAGAACTGCTTCATGTTGAGCTGGGAAACCAAAGACAACTGCCGGCGGCCGATACCGACTATACCGGAGGATCCCGACGGTGGGTCTATGGGGGAAACAGTATTATTAGCATAACTCTGATAAAGTTGACCGCACCCTAAAAGAACTTTATCAAACGAAGAGCCGTCGCTGAATGTAATTTTTGCGTTGACCATAGTGCCTTGCGCACTTTTTGATCCGTCCTTATATCCGGCGTCGAACCAGCAAGATGGGCCGCGAACGTTACACGGCAAAAACGGCGGCCTCGGCGTACCGCAGATGGGGTGGTCGCAGGGGATCGTCGCACCCTGAATCCTGGCCGCAGAACACTGCGTCGACCATATCAAGTCACTGCCGGAGTCCATGAGATAATTCGAAAACACCGGCGGGCTCCCGATGCCTAGCTGAATTAAGAACTCCCCGGAGACGGGGAGAACCTTTGACTGCACGTCGTTGCTTGCGGCCAGCCTCTGGTGGGGCAGCTGACGGTTCATCGCGCGTCGCAGCCGTTCCAGTCTAGTAAAGTTGCCGCCAGAGTCAACGCGCCGGAGAGTCGCCTTAAACCCTCCTCCGTTTATTGACGTGGAATTCGGCTCCTCAGCAAACAACATTGTTGATGATGAAAACGCCACCAACAGCATTATTAAACGAAACCAGAAAACCATTATTACTGCGTATATATGTATTTTTTGTTCCTCTATCCAACAATCCCAAATTAGGTAGCCATATATATACACGGCACATACGTCACGTAGGACGAAAATTTTTTGAGCATCTTATTCGTTAAGTCTCGTTTACTCATACCAAATTTCAGTTAAAACTTTAATCGAGATGTCAGTCAAATAAATTCTTGAAGATAATTGCACTTTTAAATGCGCAGTTATCTTCAAGAATATAATTCATTTGAATGCCTTCCCGATTGAAGTTTTGGTTCAAATTTGGCGTGAGTAATCAAATTAAACCATTCATACACATATTAAATAAAGATTCATGCAATTTAAACCATCAAGAAAATTGTCATACATCATGATTAACCCTTTCATCAATCTCAAATCCCTAATTAAAACTACTCACAATTCATAATTGAGCAATCAACAGAATTGGGATGAAAAGAATTAATTGTCATTAATTAAAAAGATTAAACTTACAAAGAATCCACAAATCTTGACAATCCAAGGCTTGAAAAACTCTCAAAAATCTCTAAGCTCATGTATCAAAAACGGGCTAACAAGGGCCCTATTTAAAGAAAAACTCGAAAAAAAGAGCAAACCGCACGAGCACACGGTCGCTCACACGGCATGCGGCATACCGTGCGCTCGCGCGAAAGTTAATTCCGTCGCGGACATTTTACTCCGCCCGCACGGCGTGCGGGCACTCCTGGGAGCTGTTCTGGACCGCGGGGCATGCGGTTTCAACCTCGGGGCATGCGATTCAGACTTCTTAACTTCTAGCTCTCAGAATCACTCGCGGGGTGTGCGGTACTTACCCGCGGGGCGATCGGATGGCTCTTGAACCGATTTCTTGCTCTTTTCTTCCATGTTTGCTCCAGATCGATCCCATCTTCAATCTTTGAACTTCCAAGCCTCGAATCATGTCTCTAAATTAAATCATCATGTGGACCTCCGATGCCTCTCGCTACCTCTCAAACGCATCCTGAATCTTCTCAAGTTAAGCTCAAACGCCGATGGCGGGTCCAAATTCTTCCTTTTCTTCAATGAATGCAAACCAAACCCGGTAAACCGTGACTTGATCTAAATAAACACTTTGTGACGCAAATAAATTAGGAAAAGTGACAAAACTCAATCTCAACTCTTATGCTTTTGTTTCTCCTCAAGCAAACTAAACTTCGGGACTTACAGCAATCACCACACGAAATTGAGAATATCAGCATGCACACTTAGCTAGAGGGATACTCACATAAAAGACAGCCTTAATCAGGAAAATTCTTTCCTAAACTATCTCTTTGTACTCTGGTTAGAATACTGAAAAGATTAATCACAACATCCTTGAAGTTATGCCAGCACACACAATTAAATTAGCTACTGATCAGAAGGACTTGTGAAGGTAGCGGTGAATGGTAAAATAGTCCCTTTTCTTTGAGAGATTGGAACAACCTAATAGTGACTCAATGTGTTTGGGAGTTCCGGGGTTATTCTTAGGATCAAGGAATTCAGCAAGACACTAACTGGGAACAATAATCATCTATCAGTATGCAAGGTGTAGACACGGTGTACAACCAAGTTAAACCATTATATCGCTGCACATTGATGCTTTGACGTATACTTGAAGTACGCGAAGAACTAATGCTAAATTTTGCAAAAGCATGTGAGTTCAATTTATTCAGTATAAAAATAAAAGTATCCTTGTTAAAATACATCTTATTCTCACTTGTGTTTTACCGGACGATGATGGTCCAACTAGCTCAGTGAGATGCCCCCTGAATCCACCTTTAAGGAACACATCAATGCTGATGGGTAAAACCATATATGCATTTAGGGAAATGTGAATTTGTGGCATATAAAAAGATTAAATTATATCAACACAAGAAATTCATGTGCCAAACATCCCGTAGTGACGAGCACTATATTCGATACTAGCACTTATACGTAGTATAGTGAAGTAGAGTTCGTATCCACAGGAAAGGGAATACTTCTCTTTTTACAAAACTAGAGAAGTAACAAGGGGGGGTTTAGTTTGAGTTGATGAAGTTAAATTATATTTAAACACGAAGATTAATGACTTATGTGGTTTACTTAATAGAGATGAAGATTTGGCTTTGCTTTTATCCACTTAATGAAATGTTCGTCGATCCCGGTTATATCTTTAACTATCTTCCTCTCGAATACTTAATCGAGGAGTATATCCAATTCATCGAGGGTAGTTATTAATAACGAGACGCGTTCATTAATAAAACTTACTACCGAGTCAATATGGAACACGCGCCGTATATTAACCCGATAGTAGCAATAAAATCAAGATGAAAACGATTGAGATTGATAACCTCAACACAAGCGGTTATCGGTTTAATCAATATAATTAATTCACCTTTGGTTATTAACCATGAGACGCATGCATTAATAACCCAAGTTTACTACCGTGAAAGGACCGAATTAATAACAAGCGTATTAGTCGATCGATTCTAGTAATAATTAATATATGAAACAAAACTAGTTGATCCTTTAAGTAATGCTCAAAATATTAATATGAAATAGGAATAGGAATTAATTAATATTCAAGGAAGAAGATTAAAGAAAATAACTCACAACTTACAATTTATTAAGCTTCAAAGTAGCAAACCCAAGATGGAAAGACTACCTAAATTACAAGAATAAAGTGTATATGAAAGAGGGGATTAAATTAATATCTAAAATAGGAAGGAAAGAGGTGTTTTTATAGGAGAAGTGAGGTGGTTGGGTCTAAGACATAATCTGATTTTCCCATGTTCACTTGTTTTATTTGATCTCTTATGATCTCCGGGTCGAATCATATCCGATTTTTCACACATCTTTGTCCTCCATGAAGCTTCCTCTTGTCTACAATGCTCCTTGCTTATGCTCCCAAGCTCCTTCCTCTTCTTTTCATCATGTTTTTGCTTACATGTCAAATTATCTTAATATCTTCTAATTCTTCTTTAATTTTAGAAGATAAAGATTACACTGTAATTGTACAAAAGTTAAGTAAACATAATGTAAAACAATTCTAAGATGTGGTGTTTATGTACTATTAAATAGTACGCATCAAATACCCCCATGCTTAATCTTTTACTCGTCCTCGAGTAAAGTGCAATTCAATTAAGTTCAATGCTTAGGAGTGTCACGTTTCTTCTCACATTTAAAATCGGTTTCTTCTCCCAAGGTTTTATCTGTTCATGCTCCCCCATGCTAAGCTTTTTGTGCTAGCCTCCTTTAAATATTTCGAGAAGCTCTTTGAAAACACCTGAATGAGTATGGCCTGTACTCGATCCGGTATCTTGTTGTTTGAACTTACACACGAAATTTTCTCCTACAAAAATTAAAATTTATCTCGTTTTCTCTCATTTTGCCTAGGAGTCCTTTTCGCGTTTTCATCCTAGCTCCTCATTTTTTCTTCATCTCACTGACAAATGGAGTTAAGTTGGGAATATGGATTTGGGATGGAGTAGAAGATCAAAGTGTGTACCCGCTCTTTTCAATTTATTCAAGGTAAATGAAAAAACATAAAAGAAAATTAAAAACAAAATTACACAAACACACAGTTAAAAAGTGTAGCCTTTCCCCGGCAACGGCGCCAAATTTGACGAGCACTTTGTCATGGTGCGTCAAAATAATATTCGATACTAGCACTTATACGTAGTATAGTGAAGTAGAGTTCGTATCCACAGGGAAAGGAATACTTCTCTTTTTACAAAACTAGAGATAAGTAACAAGGGGGGGTTTAGTAAGATTTGATGAAGTTAAATTATATTTAAACACGAAGATTAATGACTTATGTGGTTTACTTAATAGATATGAAAATTTGGCTTTGCTTTTATCCACTTAATGAAATGTTCGTCGATCCCGGTTATATCTTTAACTATCTTCCTCTCGAATACTTAATCGAGGAGTATATCCAATTCATCGAGGGTAGTTATTAATAACGAGACGCATTCATTAATAAAACTTACTACCGAGTCAATATAGAACACGCGCCGTATATTAACCCGATAGTAGCAATAAAATCAAGATGAAAACGACTGAGATTGATAACCTCAACACAAGCGGTTTATCGGTTTAATCAATATAATTAATTCACCTTCGGTTATTAACCATGAGATGCATGCATTAATAACCCAAGTTTACTACCGTGAAAGGACCGAATTAATAACAAGCGTATTAGTCGATCGATTCTAGTAATAATCAATATATGAAACAAAACTAGTTGATCCTTTAAGTAATGCTCAAAATATTAATATGAAATAGGAATAGGAATTAATTAATATTCAAGCAAGAAGATTAAAGAAAATAACTCACAACATACAATTCATTAAGCTTCAAAGTAGCAAAACCAAGATGGAAAGACTACATAAATTGCAAGAATAAAGTGTATATGAAAGAGGGGATTAAATTGGTATCTAAAATAGGAAGGAAAGAGGTGTTTTTATAGGAGAAGTGAGGTGGTTGGGTCTAAGACATAATCTGATTTTCCATGTTCACTTGCTTTATTTGATCTCTTATGATCTCCGGGTCGAATCATATCTGATTTTTCATACATCTTTGTCCTCCATGAAGCTTCATCTTGTCTTTAATGCTCCTTCCTTATGCTCCCAAGCTCCTTCCTCTTCTTTTCATCATGTTTTTGCTTACATGTCAAAATATCTTAATATCTTCTAATTCTTCTTTAATTTTAGAAGATAAAGATTACACCGTAATTGTACAAAAGCTAAGTAAACATAATGTAAAACCATTCTAAAATGTGGTGTTTATGTACTACTAAATAGTACGCATCACGTAGATAGAATGTGTTTATGTTGCACATCATCTAAGGGTTGGTTTGCAACTCCTTTTAAAAAAGCACTTCTCAACTTATGGCTTTAAAAAGTACTTATTTTCTCAAACACTACAACTTTTATTTTTCTCGGCTTCCGCGTCAAAAGTGCTTTTACTTTTTCTATTACACAAAAAGCACTTATTTTACCAAACACTACCCACTTTTACTTTTCAAAATCACTTTTTTCTCAAACACTAT